TGTAGCCGCTGGGGCGTCGGTAGCTACTTGGTGTCTAATTCAAGCTTCAGGGCGTTTTGCTAGTAAAGAAGACAGCATCTCTGAGGTTGTAGATGATTTAAAAGGGAAGGAAAAGGCATGCAACGTATAGAGTAGCCATTTAAAATACAAAGAAAAGTTTTGCAAACTGCGATGCCTCAGTTAAACATAACACAAAACTACTTTGTCCTCTTCTACTTATCGGATAATTAATTACTTTCTTTGACACAAATGTTCAATACATCAAAGCTCTACCTTTTTGATTCTCCTTGATCCCCCTTCTTTGTAGAACCCATTTCTGAGACCCAGTTGGACCCAAACATCGGCTAATACTTTTGAAGAAAAATAGGCAAATTATCCAAAATGGTATTTAATGAATGACAATTTAATTATTAAGCAATTGTTAACGCACAAGAGAAGGATTCTATCTCCACCATTCCATGGTACTATACAGCCTGAAAGTTGCCCTTGTTACAAACACCCATTTCTAAAAGCGTGGCTGATCCACGGAGACCAAACTCACGTTCTCAAAAACCGAGCCCCAGACAGCGCGGACCATGGGGGTAGGGGCCTCCAAGGTGTGCCCAGTAGGTGCGACTTGCACAGTCATTCCCCGTGCAGACTGGGCTGGGTTTTGCTTGCTTCTGCCTCTCCTGTCATGGCTCCCCAAAAGAATCTTTTAAAAACTCTACTCGGATTGGTAAAACATAGTCCTCATTTAATATTTTTCATTATCAGCCTGTTCCTCAGATGGGGAAATATTTTTGTCTACAATTAATGTAATTTTCCGAGAACAATTTTGTTCTATTTTCCTTCAAAACTATGGGATGCACCAGCCAGAAACATTTTGTCACCCTTATTCTGATGACATAAAATGATGAGCTCTCTGAAATAAGATCTGGCAGGTAGACGGGTCCTAAAACATGCTGGTGTTCAACAATTTAATGTTCAGAAATTCGTTATGCCACAGGCTAAGTGTGGAACTCTATAGCAATAATAATCACTTAACCAAACACATAAATGCGGAGTTCACTAAACCATCTAGTGGTTTCACTGGGGTGGGTGAAGGGAGATGGTTACCGTGACATCACTGCTATTATTTAAATTAAACTGCTATGGGAGAATATAATTGTTAATAAAAGCCTCCTCTCCACGCCCCCCAAGGTTTCCCCTCCCCCTCTGGCATTTTATGACGCGCCATCCACGATGACTGTAAGCAGAATACGTGGATCCTGGTAGCCTCCTGCATAACTACAATGTCGCACCTACAGGTCCGCAAGGAAGTGCGAGGAAAAGGACGGTAGTTAGGGAGAGTCGTTTGAGAAAATATGTATACGTTTATGGTTAGGGCACCGAGGTTCAAACTTTTTTGTCCTCCCGAGGCATGTGTTTGTGTGTGTGCATGTGAAGAGAGCATTTTATAACTGGGCTGTGTGCACCCTCTGTCGTGCCCCCCGTGTTTGGACATTAACAACCGCTGTGGAATTATTCTATGGGGCTATTTTAATGCATTTAACAGAGAACTAATGGGTCGTCTATGTCGAAAAGCATGCCCCTATTTTTAATCTCGTCACGTATGGAAGCGGTTCTGTGCGAATCTGAGGCTTCCCCCCTTACCCGTCGTGGGTGCTCTTGGGCAGGAAAATCATTCCAACCACTTTTGGTTCCTGACCATTCTAAGATGCTACCTTTCTTTCTCCGTAACTGGTGTTTTTGTTTTGTGAAGTCTACTTTCGTCCTACTTGCCAACAACAGTGCTGCCTAGAAACTCAGTTGCAATGTGGTGAACTCTCGCCTTGGTCCTGGCTGCAGGGTTGTAATCGCGAACGCAGGGTATGGTGGACTTTGGTGGGCTCCAGGCTGCAGGAGACCAAAGCTACTTTTTTGTGTGTGCCAGGATTTTACCTTCTAGTTAGCCCGGAGCGTGCGCGCTGCAAGCATACACACACACACACACACACACACACACACACACACACACACGCACGCACACCTACGCAAAAAAAACACGAGGAG